TAATCTTTCCTTGCAGGTCAGTTCTTGCACCATGAAGTCAAACTTACCCAGGACCCTCTGGGTGGAAGTCCCCAGCTGGTCAGTCAGAACTCAACTGGAGAGCCGAACCCGAGACCAGTGAACATGTTAAAGGTAAAAGGTAGGCTGGTTCCTGTCGTGTGGAAGCAGAGAAAGATCTACAACGGCGAGCAGGAGGTCGATTGCTGGTTTGCCAAGAACAATGCAGACAAACTGATTGATGGAGACTATAAGGATTATCTTGCTGCTCATCCCTTCGACACAGGAACCAGCTTCGGGGTGGCTAACAGACTTTAAGGCCGATCACCGGTTGCATCAGCAGATTCAACAACAATAACCCTGCAGGTGGTTCTTACTTTTTTTAGTGCCAAAGAAACAAATCTTTTCCCTTTGGAAATCAGCTTCCCCTCTTCTGTGCTGGCAGGTCGTGGTGCTGAGTGCAAGGCGGGGGGAGGTTTGTGTTAAAGTGCTCTCCTGGTGGGAAGCCAGGGAGAGGGGGAGGTATGTCAGATTTAGCAGTACAGAAAGATAAAGGTATAAAACTAAATGCCCAGGTGGATCTGCGCAATACCCACTAGTGTCTGGTTAAGGTAAGCTATAAGTCATACAACATAACCCTTCCTTTGGTGGGATAACATGACATGAGGTACCTGCTGTGAAAACTACCTGGGGCAGACGTGCTTTTAGGGAAAGCATCCCACAAAGGAAAGCCCAGGGTCACCAGAGGGTTAATGAACAACACAGAGCCAGTGAGTCACAGCAGGGCGGTGGTTTCTTGGCTATCCAGACAGGTTGAATGGGGTGTTAAGTGTGAACCTCTAGCCACCAGAGAGGCTCACTAGTGATATACGCCCGCATGAGGCGTCTTGCTGTTAGAGTATGGAAACATCCTAAAAAAGCAGTTACAGCCTGAAAGAGTGACAGTGGTGGTGTAACTTCCACCCCTTGTAGCATCTTGATGAAATGTTTCAATCCATGGTCTCTCCTGTCTCAGAAAGGAAGGAGGCTCCAACCCACACCACATCTGCTTGATCATAGCATTCGGCACCCATTCTATTTAATAGAAGCTTTGTTAAATTCTCTGGATAGGAACAGTCAGCCAAGTTCCAAATCCATTGACCACAAAATGGTCCCAGCTCTTGTACTGAAATCCAAATCCCATATAACTGTTACAGTCGGGGCCCACGTAAAAGGGGATGAGCCGTATGGCGGAATGTGAGCTTTATCCCTTCCCGATCCCCCAATGCTTATCATCGGACACTCCTCGTCTTTGCTTCCGTGCAACGAAGGCGATTGGCAACACGAGGTTGTGAAACGGGCCGTTAGATACTCACGCTGCAGGGATGTGAAAGCTGAGCAAGCCACTCAAGAGGATTTTGCCAACCCAAAATGTAGAGACTGATCTATTTTAAAGCGAGACATCATTGTGTGTCAGCCTCCAATGAGATCCTTTATTAGAAAAGTCAGCTAGAGAGGACATCAGCAGACATGAAGACATATGTGCCTGGGAGGCCAGAACTGAACTAAACTTTACCGTATCTCCCCGGGGGCTCAAAGGGAAGGGGGAAAGGGGTGAAAGCACCGTAAGCAGCCAAATGATATCCAGGTGTTAGGAGAGTACTGAAGAACTGCTTTGGCCTAGGAGAAATAGACTAACTCAGAGCTGATATTCGTATATTTAAACATTATAATCACATCTAGAGTCTAGGACATCTTTCACCCACAGCATCCTTGTCCACGTAGAAACCACCACTCCCTAACGCTGTATTGTGGAGAAGCATTGAGCTAGCAGCATTGCTCAGCTCAATCTCATCTTTTAGTGAATTTTCTTGCTTGTTGCAGGGAACGATTCCATTAGAGCTTCCCACGTAAAGCCCTGCTAAGGCACCTCAAATGCAGTACTGCTGCCAAAATTCTGTGAGTGCTAAGCAGGGAAATTTGAACCTGAGGCTATGGCTACACTACAGACTTCGTCCAGCATAGATCTGTCAGTCAGGGATGTGACGAGGGGTGATCCCTGACTGATGTGACTGCGTCAACAGAAGCCTATAGCATAGCCAGAGCTATACCAGCAAAACTGTGCGTTTACTAGAGTAGTTTGTTTCACTCCTGGTGGGTGGCTTTACTACACTGGTCCTATTGGGTTCCGGGAAGTGGGTGGGCACAAGCCCACCCATTGCTAAAGGACCCTCCCCCAGCCTTAGGGGAGGATCCACAAGGTCCAGGAACTCAAATAATTACAGGGGACAACCAAAAATGTCACAGGGGCAGGTGTGAAGGTCAAAGGGTCAAACAAAGGGAACCTGAAGGGGACACCGAGCAGAGGACCCCAGACAGCGCCCACTGCTCCTGGAAGGCGTCAAGGGAGCCAGCGGACGCCGCCCAGAGGAACTTTGCCGGGATACGTGAGCGAAGGCAGGATTGGAAATGGGCCCCACAATCGCAGGAAACCCCCTCAGCCAACCTCCTCTCCCTGGTCTTATAGATGGCTACTTTGGCCAACGCCAGGAGGAGGTCCTGCGATTCTGTGGGGCCACGGATGGGGTGTGAGTATATGAAAAGGCGAGGGGAAACGTGCAGCCAGAAAGGTAGAAGGATGGTCAGGAGGAGCCGGAACACTCCAGGTCTACGTGCGCCAGGGTCTCCCTCACACCGTAAAAGGGACAGGCGCCAGGGACGGGGGTGAACCACGCCAAGTCCACGCCTGTGCTCAGTATAGCTGTGTCCACACCATAGTACTTTGCCAGTATAGTAACCTGGGAGTCCCATAAAGCCCTAGTGTAGACATGTGCTGAGGCTACCGCACTGGGCACGTCTCTCTCAGGAAACAATCCTCTCAGAAGAGCAATTGGCAGACATTGAGGAAGTGTGCTGGGTGCTGCCTTTCTCCTAAACAGTAAGCAGAGCGTTGGCTAGCAGGCCATTGCTAAACAAGGCAAAGCTTATCAAGCACCAGTGTAGCACTCATGATCAGGAAGTGCTACGGGGAGGGGAATCTTGCAGAGGGTGGGAAATTGTGCCAGTTAAACTGGCTGCTTCCCCTGAAAACGTCTGGTGGCAAACCACAGTCGACTGACTCCTGCACTGACTTGACTGTTTTAATTGCAGCAAGTGACCTCGATGTTGGTCACGTAAGAAACATTCCTGAACTCATCAGACACCTTTGGACTGTGGTGATTGCCACGGGATTTCCCTGGGTTCGCACTTTCCACCTCTCCCCACCCATATTTCAGCTCTTTAGAGGCAGGGTTTGAGTTTTCTACAGGGTGCTGACCTGTTCAAACACACGTTCCCTTCGAGGGCAGCTTAGGGCAGCTGTAGGGTTCTATTCCATTGTACACACCCTTCTGCCCCCTTTCTGTATATAAATATATATTGTTTGGTGCACTCGAAACTTTAGCATCTCCCCCACCCCATTATGGACATGCTATATCAGTGGACCCCAAAAGGATGAAATCTAACCCCGTAGGTATAGGGAGCACCTGCAACGGCACAGTTGAGATTCGGTCAGTGCGGATCCAGTTATCACTTTTCACAATAAAAAATATACTTTACCGTGACCATGGAGATGATGTTTTTATTTAGTGTGAAGCAGCAGACACTTGGTTGAACCTGTTATGAGACTAAGGTTGTGCATGTGTTTTATGTTGCTGGACCGGGGAAGAAGCCGCTGCACCAAATATCAGGTGGTGGATTATAATGGCCTTTGTGACCTCAATGGAGATGCTTAAAAATCAGAAGCAGCCTCTGGCTTAGAGCGAGAGCTACAAACAATAGATGTAAAAGTTTTGCCATTGAGTGGTGGAAGGTTGGTACATGACCACAGGCTCCACCCAGCTTGCCCTGAACCAAGTACTCATTTAGACAATCCCTAATTGACCTATAAGCCAAAGGGCTGAGAGCTAGAGAGCTCCCAGTGAAGGCACTAAGCTCTGCCAGTGGGTGCATTTTGAGAAGCGTGTCATCCAATGTGTGTTCGGTGTGATTTGAAGCCCTGTCTCTCCCTTGAAGTCGATGGGTTTTGGATCACAAATTCTTTTAAGCAGCATAAATATTTCCATTCTTATACCACACATTCTTACGTGGTCCTGCCTTGAGTGCAGGGGACTGGACTAGATGACCTCTCAAGGTCCCTTCCAGTCCTACACTTCTAGGATGCTTGGATTACTGTAGAATCTGAACGCCTTCCAGTTATGCATTAAGCAACTAGATTAATATCGGTCATGTGCGGTTCATTCTCTCTTCCCTCTCCCATGGGGGAGAATTGTGCATGCAATAGAATGTTTTGGTAGGGTGCACATGCTGATCTGTGTTTATGGTAGGCTGAAGGGTCCCTTGCATTTGGAGCAGAAGGTGGCAAGGTTTGGGCCAGTGCGTAGGTCCTTCCTGAGAAAGTCTGTTCTACAGGTGTTAGACCGACCCCTGGGAAAGCTGTCTCCTGCACAGATGAACTTTCCTGTTTAAATAAGGCTTTATTTTAGAGATCACTTTAGACATCGATTTTTGAAAATTTTGGCTTTAGAAAAACAGCTTTTCCCCACGTCATTAACCCAAGTGACTGCACAGATTTTTAACCAGATTAACTTCTGGGCCAAGACAGGACAGTTCCAGTTCGGATATGGCAATGCAAAGCAAGCGGCAAGTCCCTGCAAGTGCGAGTTTAGAATGGAGCCATCTCATTTGTAACATCCTCTCTTTGCAAAACATTAGGCGCCGGAATGCATTCCAAAAATGAAGCAACTTTAAGTCAAACTTTTATTACAATCCCTATAAAACAGTAAAAAAGTCAGATTCAGTGGAATGATGAGTCCAACCCCAAAGACATTTTTAAATACTTTTTACAAGTGAGTTATTTACGAGCAAGCTGTGCCTACAGAAAGTGTCATGGTACAGTTAGTACAAGATAAATCATAAATCCTATTAAAAGATCTAGTATTGTGACTTATGCTACCATCCTGACAAACTCAACAGCCAGCTGGCCAGCCACAGAAATATAACTCCACAGTCCTAACCATGATGTGATTAGGAGTGTCCAGTTTAGAGACAAATACAGGTACAGCAGGAGTTAACGGTGTACGTAGAGCCAGCCACCACACTGGGCAACAAGAATGCAGAAGGTACAGAAACGCCATCAGGAAAATAACTGCAAAGGATAGATCTGCCTAGTCCCAGCATGTGATCTCCATTTAACTGTGCAATAAAACTAGCATCCCCACCCCAGCTTCTAACATCAGATCAAAGTCCAGTTTTCTACAAAAGTCTCTATTGCTGTTTTCTTGGTTGGAACTCTCTCCACTTGGCTCAGTTTGAAGTCGCTATTAAACTACCACCTGATAGCCTGGCTGTCTCGTTTTCTGGCTGGATCCTTGGAGTCCTGAGATGTCTTCGTCACTTTCAGACTGATCAAAATCCAAGTCAGGACAGAGCAACGCCTAAAGGAAGAACAAGAACAATTCAACTCTTGACAGAGACTCATTGCTCAGTGGTTAGAGCGTCTGTTTGGCTGGAGATCTCATACCTCTTAGTGCCTTTTAACGGGACATACCATAGGTAACATCTCCCAGAACAGCACTGCTCTGAAGGATAAAGATATGTCAGTGAGCAAACAACAAAGCTACCCTAAGTTTGATACAGGAGTTGGCCACGATGCCTATTCCTCCTCAATCAAGTGATAGACTCAGCAAAATCTAAACTCAAACCCTCAACCAAACTCTCTCATTACAGAGCTAGGCATTTAGTTACCCCAAGGGGTAGGTGTGGGCAGGGCATCCCATGCCGTTTGCAGCTTCAGTAGATGAGTGTTCAAAATTAAGTGACATCTGATCAGCTGAACAGCAGAAGTCGGCTGGCTAAGTGGTTTCTGCTATGAATTATGCCCACCTATGTTAAACTATATTTTTTATTGTACCCTGTCCTCCCCCCACCTTGGTTTGCTTGGTCATTTCCCCAACCCACTGTAAAGACCTCGTCTTTAGACTATAGACTCTTTGAAGCAAAGAAATGTTCTTCATTGTGTTTGTACAGTGCCTAGCACATTGGGGTTAAGGCCTCTCGGGGCTATTGCAATGTAAATATATATCATTCTTTAAAACAGAAAATCAAAGTTAACCAATGTTTATTCAGGGTAGTACAAGAAAAACGTTGGACTCCATCACCACTAATTCAACCAAGTACAGAAAAATGACAGATGAGCCTGCTTCCTTCTGATTAGCAGACACCAAATCTCATTGGCCTGCCATTGTTGTCTTCTGCACCCGTCAAAGTCGCGTATGTTGAGTTACTTAATTAACCACTAAAGTGCAGCCACCTCTGGGGGAGGCTAGAACTTTTTAACAGCACCCAAAAACAGTTAAGGATAGAAGAGAAGGCGAATATTTCAACCAGTTGAAACTGCATGGGAGTTTAAGCAGATGATGTAGCTTACCCCTACGGAAATATGGCCAGGCCCCAGGGCCCTGTCAATTCCTGGATAAGAACATAGGAACGGGCATACTGGGTCAGACCAAAGATCCATCCAGCCAGTATCCTGTCTACCGACAGTGGCCAATGCCAGGTGCCCCAGAGGGAGTGAACCTAACAGGTAACGATCAAGTGATCTCTCTCCTGCTACCCATCTACACCCCCTGACAAACAGAGGCTAGGGACACCATTCCTTACCCATCCTGGCTAATAGCCATTAATGGACTTAACCTCCATGAATTTATCCAGTTCTCTTTTAAACCCTATTAGAGTCCTAGCCTTCACAGATAGCATGTACATCTGAGATTCTGACAGCTTCAGTTTTACTTCTCTAAAGGACAGCCCCTCCAGTGGCACAGTCCAGACCACACTGCGCTAGTTGAGAGTTGGCTCAGTGAGACGAGCACCAGCTCCTAAAAACACAGCTTCCCACATCGCCTTATTGGAGGTCTCCCATCTAAGTGTTGATCTGGCCTGTCCCTACTCAGCTTGAGAGATCTAACAATATCACAGCCTGCATTTTTATGTTGGTTATTAAGCGTGTAATTTGGATCTCTGGACTGTTTCCTGACACACTGCATTAGGGAGGCAGTATAAAATGTGCTGGCTTTATGAAATGTCCATATCAAGGGAGAATTTGCTCATGCTTTGTTTGGCCGGAGTGTTTTATATGCAACAGACCAAAAAACTGGCGGATGACAGACTATTAACAAGGCCTCTTTCCCCGGTCCTGGACCCGGACATCGTGGGGGACATAAATTGCATGATCCCGGTGCACTGTCATAACAAAGGAACACACCCTTCGTTCATTATCATTTAGGCGGCACGGTGGGGCCAGTAACCATAGCAACAGGAGGGCTAAACAGGAAAAACAAACGGCTGCAATGAAGCAACATCTTCAAAGGGATTAGAGAGGCTCACACCGCCCATCCCGATTCACACATTTTATGACATCTCCAGCAATACATGGAAAAACCAGCAATATTTAAGAGATGCTGTCAGGTCACATTTGGCTTTTACAACAACCTAAGACCAGTAGAAAATAAAGGGAAATGGCTTGTTATTCAGGTGCTATTTGTCACTAAGACGTTGATCTCTCTTGGGGTATGGTACACAGCTAAAGCTGTTCATGGGCATTAGCTTGATAGGCTAGTGCAGGGATCGGCAACCTTTGGCACACAGCCTATCAGGGAAATCCACTGGCAGGCCGGGACGGTTTGTTTACCTGCAGCACCTACATGTTCAGCTGATCGCAGCTCCCACTGGCTGAGGTTCGTTGTTCCAGGCCAAAGGGGGCTGCGGGAAGCAGCGGCCAACATATCCCTCAGCCCACACTGCTTCCTGCAGCCCCCATTGGCCTGGAACAAACAAACCATGATCGGCCGAACCTGCAGACACTGCAGGCAAACAAACCGTCGTGGGCTAGTGAGTAACAATGGTGGAAACAGCACAAGGTGGGTGTAACCCTTCTGCCCCTCTGAGATGGCAGCAACAAGGGCCGGGTTCAGTATCTAGGGGTTCCGTTTCAATAACGCAATGCAAAACCGGCTCGAGCCCCCACCCAGTGACCTGGGACAATTACATACCACCCCCCAACCCCGGGTGCCTCTAGGAGGCAATACTTCCCCTCTCGCAAGCACGGAGTCTGAGTGTAGCAAAAGCCTTTTAATAAAGGAGGGAAACAATGCGGCATTATGTTGGGGAAACCGCAAACAGGATTCATAACACAAACCATGAGCAAAAGACCCACCCCCAAGTAAGTTTGGCAGTGTCCTTTTCCCCTGAGGGTCTTAAGTCCAACCACCCCAAAGTCTCTGTCCCTGGTCAGTGCTGCCCCAGAGTTCAAAAGTTTATCTGCAGAGTTTTACCCCCCCACAGCCTGGGCGGAAATGGGGGGGGCACACGGGATGTTAAGGGGCACCTTGTGTGGTCCGAGGCCAACTGCCCCACCTCTCCGTGGCGTTCTGCTGCAACCTTTACCACGAATGGCTCCGCTCTACCAGCCGCGCCGCCCCGCTCCTCCAGCCGTCCCCGCAAACTGCTCCGCTCTGCTCCCCGTTCCGTGGGCCGTTCCAACCGTCCCACAAACTGCTCAGCTCTGCCAGCCACTCCACTCCACCAGCCGTCCCATGAACCGCTCCAGCTGCCCCCGCAAATGGCTCAGCTCCGCTCTGAGCCGCTCAGCTCCGCTCTGAGCCGCTCAGCTCGATGTTCCATGGGCCGCTCCAACCATCCCACAAACTGCTCGGCTCTGCCAGCTGCTTAGCAATATATCTTCAGGCTCCCGCACTGGTTAACACAGCACTCAGTGATCTCAGCTCAGCAATTTTAGCTCTTTTAGTGATTTCAGCTTGTAGTAGGGGAGCCCCAGTGCTGGTGCACCATTGGCCCAAAGTGAATTCAGTTCAGCAACTTCTAGCTAGACTCCTAATGGAAGCAAACTTAGCTCTGCTATTCAACAGTGGAGAGAGGGGGTAGTGCAATTGGTGTTCCAGGCCCTCAAAAGGGGCCCATACCATCAGGTACACATACCTGTCCCCAACCTCTCTCCATTCACTGGGTTTTGTAACCCATGCCCCTTGTCTAGCGAGTGCTAATTAGTTACTGGTAACTCCCTCTGTCATACAGCAGTTCCACTGGCCTTGATTCACAGAATCAGGGTAACAACACTTTATTCTTCCTGCCCCAATAACAGAGAAACTGGGGATCCCACACCAGCCAAAGTAACCACTTTCAGTTGTTGTTGTCCCAGGTTAGGCAGGTGGGTGTGCCTATGCAAACAAGATCAGCCCCTGAAGTTCTTTTCCACCCTCACCATAATTCACCACCAGGGTAGAGCTTATCCTAACTCTGCTTACATGGGCTTGGAGCGGGATAGCAAGCTGGGTATTGTGACAAAGTTCCTCCTCTACCTTGCTGGGTCCTGCGCTTATTGGCAGATTTGCTCATCTCAGAGATCTTCCCCTCTGGTGGAACCCACAGTCCGGGTCAACTCCTCCTGTGTCTGATCAGGAGTTGGGAGGTTTGGGGGGAACCTGGGCCCGCCCTCTACTCCTGGTTCCAACCCAGGGCCCTGTGGACTGCAGCTGTCTATAGTGCCTCCTGTAACAGCTGCATGACAGCTACAACTCCCTGGGCTACTTCCCCATGGCCTCCTCCAAACACCTTCCTTATTCTCACCACAGGACCTTCCTCCTGGTGTCTGATAACGCTTGTGCTCCTCAGTCCTCCAGCAGCACACCCTCTCACACTTAGCTCCTTGCGCCTCTTGCTCCCAGCTCCTCACACTCGCACCACAAACTGAAGTGAGCTCCTTTTAAAACCCAGGTGCCCTGATTAGCCTGTCTTAATTGATTCTAGCAGCTTCTTGATTGGCTGCAGGTGTCTGCCTGTCTGCCTTAATTGTTTCCAGAAAGTTCCTGATTGTTCTGGAACCTTCCCCGTTACCTTACCCAGGGAAAAGGGACCTACTTAATCTGGGGCTAATATATCTGCCTTCTATCACTCTACAGGAGAGTGATAGAAGGTAGATATCGGGGCAGAGTTCCTCTGGGTGACGTCCACTGGCTCCTTTGACGCCTTCGAGGAGCAGTGGGTGTTGTCCGGGGTTCTCTGTTCGGTGTCCCCGTCTGGTTCGCTTTGTTTGACCCTTTGACCTCACTCCTGTCCCTGTTCTTTTATTAGTTGTCCCCCGTAATTTTTTGGTCTCCAGGTCCTGTGGACCCCCCCTTAGGCTGGGGGGGGGATCCTTTAGCAGCAAAGCCCGCCCACTTCCTGGATCCCAATAGGATCACTCTCCTGTAGCTATCTGGCCTGACCCTGTCACAGTATGTACCCAGGGTCCGGCATGCTCTGCTCGGTCTTCCCTGCTATTGTCATCTGCCCTAGCTGGATTCAAACTGGCTCACTCAGGCTAACCTGTGCAAGCTTCTGTTGTGTAGACAGACCCTTAAAGAGAGGTGAAACTTCAACACAAGCTTGTCCTTGACATTTGCATTGGTTGTGTTACAGCAGTGGTGAGGTGGCCCACTGGGCTAAGCGCTGGTAAGACAAACAAAGGGTCAGAAAGAATTCCTGCTCCAAAGAGATTTCAGTCTAGACAGGAGAGGCACCGAGC